GCCAGAAGTACGCTTCCGGGTTCATGTTGGCCAGCAGGGCTAAGGCTGCCTTCTGGAGAACCAAGAGCAGTGCATTGGGAAACGCTGTTTACCTTCCCCGCCGGAGGGGTAACTATTTATCTACTTGCACTTCATGCTTTCAAACTGCTAGGTTGGCAGGAGCAGGGAACGAGCAACGGGAGCTCACCCTGTCGCAGGGATTTGAACCGCCGTACCTTCTGTATCGCAGTCCTAAGGCTCTATGGTTAACCCACAGCGCCACACAACGTGTTTATATTATAGCTTATTATATTATATTATTATATTAATATTATATTATATTATATTATTATATTATGTTTGTATTATAGATTATAGGGAAGCCCTATAATCTTCCTCGGAGAACTGCATTTTCCAGAGCTCCCTTAGAATGGGGATTGATTGTAAAACCACCCTGGAATTGTAGCTCAGTGAGAGGAATATGGGGTGCCCTAACAATGCTCAGCACGTATCACAAACGACAACGTATCACAAACGACAGCTCCCAGAATTCTTTTGGGTTAGGCCATGGATGTTTATAGGAGTGCTGGCATGCTCTGGTCCATGGAGTCACGAAGAGTCAGACACGACTAAATGACTAACAACAACAACATGGATGTTTATAGTGGTATCATGGTATACATATGGTGTGAATTTGGCCTAATATTTGGGAAGCATCACAGAGCAACTAAAGCTCAGAATGATACGTGGATGGTGCAGTAAAAAAATCTCCACTAACGCATCATTACTGGGTCAGTGATGTGCTGCAGAATATACCCGCAAGGACTGCTCCAGTCTAGATGGGTTTTCCAGAAATATGTGGTTAAGGCCTGTTTCAGTATTGCAGGATTGCCACTTTGGGCAGTGGTTGTTATGCAAGGGCTGTTGGGAACCAGTCCCAGCCGTGTACGACTGAGGAGCCTGAAATTTCACATCACTTCCACTTACTGTGGCTTTTATGTGCTTCTGCGTGGGCTCCTAGCCAACACCCGGTATGCAAAATGAGGAAACTGTCAGTTGCATGCAAATGTTGACAATGCTTCACACGGTTGGTGAATATTCAGAGTTTTAGAGTTATGGTAATGAAAACGGAGCAGATAATATTAGGGGATTTCCTCCACCTCCACCGCCTTTGTGAGCCACACGTCTGATGAAAAGCCAGTACTTAGCAGTGATACCTTATGGAATTCTCATTCCGCTAGTCCCTAACATGTCATAGTATTTTTTTGAACTTTTTACGTATTTGTTCCTAAATTTCTGGTTTAATACAATGTAAAGCTGGGGAGCAGAGGAATAAAAGTGCATACTGTGCCCAAATAGTTTTAAATCACATGTATTGTAGACTGCACCTGGGTTTTTTTTGTTTTTGTTTTCAACCATACAAGAGACTTTTCTTCTTCTTCTCAAAACAATCTAGTGACACCTGGTGGCATGTTGTATAATGGACTCAAAAACGATTGCAGATAGGAGGGACCGAGAGCTGATTTCTGCTGGCATCCAATACTCTTGCCACGGGAGAAGCAAGAACCTCTTGGAGTGTTAATGTTGCGAGCACCTCCATTACAGGTTCCGGTTGTATATATGTAAATGAACCATATATCATAAAGACACCATGGTCTCTGCTGTGCCTCATTTGCAAAGGAAGCATGAACTTTGGGAAAGCTTCTAGACCAGGCATAGGCAAACTCAGCCCTCCAGATGTTTTGGGACTACAACTCCCATCATCCCTAGCTAACAGGACCAGTGGTCAGGGATGATGGGAGTTGTAGTCCTAAACATCTGGAGGGCCGGAGTTTGGCCTATGCCTGATCTAGTCTAACCCCCTGCAATGCAGGAATCTCAACTGACGCATCCATGACAGATGGCCACCCAACGTCTGCTTAGAAACCTTCGAGGAAGGAGAGTCCACCACCTCCCGAAGGAGCCCGTTCCACCGTTGAACAGCTCTCATCGTCAGAAAGTTCTTCCTGGCATTTTGTTGGAATCTCCTTTCTTGTAACTTGAACGCATTGGTTTGGATCCTACCCTCCGGAGCAGGAGGAAACAAGCTTGCTCCCTCCTCCATGTGAGTTTGGATTTGATATCCCGCCTTTCACTCCCTTTAAGGAGTCTCAAAGGGGCTAACATTCTCCTTTCCCTTCCTCCCCACAACAAACACTCTGTGAGGTGAGTGGGGCTGAGAGACTTCAGAGAAGTGTGACTGGCCCAAGGTCACCCAGCAGCTGCATGTGGAGGAGCAGAGACGCGAACCCGGTTCCCCAGATTACGAGACAACCGCTCTTAACCACTACACCACACTGACAGCCCTTTCGATATTTGAAGATGGCTATCTTATCTCTCCTCAGTTTCCTCTTTACATTCTAAACCATTGGTGGAGTATCCAAATACCGGCTTCCCACAGCACTTTCCCTGTGGCATTCCAGCAAACCCAAAGAACCATTCAGACTTAGCTGCACCCAGAGTGAACCCCACCCCACCCCACTGAACGACAAGTCATGGCATATCGGCTGGATCCAGCACACCTGACGTCATCAAACGGTGCCAGTCCTTAGCATGAACAGGTGGGGGCAGAACCGATAAATAGTGTTGTGTCTTTGCAGATTATAATTATAATTATAATATATTATTTATTATTTATACCCCGCTCATCTGGCTGGGCTTCCCCAGCCACTCTGGGCGGCTTTCAACAAAATATTAAATACAGTAATGCATCAAACGTTAAAAGCTTCCCTAAACAGGGCTGCCTTCAGATGTCTTCTAAAAGTCTGGTACAGTGGTACCTCAGGTTACATACGCTTCAGGTTACATACGCTTCAGGTTTCAGACTCTGCTAACCCAGAAATAGTGCTTCAGGTTAAGTACTTTGCTTCAGGATGAGAACAGAAATTGTGCTCCGGCGGCACGGCAGCAGCGGAAGGGCCCATTAGCTAAAGTGGTGCTTCGGGTTAAGAACAGTTTCAGGTTAAGAACGGACTTCCGGAACAAATTAAGTACTTAACCTGAGGTACCACTGTAGTTGTTTTTCTCTTTGACATCTGGTGGGAGAGCGTTCCACAGGGCGGGCGCCACTACTGAGAAGGCCCTCTGCCTGGTTCTCTGTAACTTGGCTTCTCGCAGTGAGGGAACAGTCAGAAGGCCCTCGGCGCTGGACCTCAGTGTCCGGGTAGAACGATGGAGGTGGAGACACTCCTTCAGATCTTCTCTAACTTCCAGTTTGGCATTTCCATCACTGGGGAAGCAGCAACAGCCCTACCTGTTAGCCAATCTTTTTGGCAGTTTGAGTCAGGAAGCTTGCTTCACAGACCTTCCCTCCTGCGCTCTCCTCGCCTGCAGTTTTGGGCATTAAGCAGCTACAAGCCGAAGCTGATTCAGAGCAGTCTGCCCCACATTGTTCCCCTAAGAGGCACAAGTTAAACTGTGGAACTCACTTCCTCAGGAGGCAGTGATGCCATCAACTTGGATGGCTTTAAAAGAGGATTAGACAAATTCCTGGAGGATGGCTGTGCTTTGCCTCCTTAGTCAGAGGCAACAGTGATTTTGAATACCAATTGCTGGAAACTGCACGAGGGGAGAGTGCTCTTGTGTTCGAATCCTGCTTCTGGGCTTCCCACAGGCATCTGGTTGGCCACTGTTAGAACAGGATGCTGGACTAGGACATTGGCCCTGATCCAGCATAACTTTTCTTACTTTTTTTGCATTCTTTTTTTGGGGGGGAATATTTTATTAGTTGAATATGAGAACAACATATAATCAAATACAAGCAATAAAATACAGTTTTCCCCTAACCCCCCCAAAAAAAACAGTCCCAACTACGTCCAGGTAATTACATTAGTAAAATAATCAAATGAAAATTTATTTCTACAGTTGCTGGTTTAAAAAATATCATTCCACATGCTCCCATGTGTCTTAGGTGGTTTAAATGCATGTTCTTTCTTTGATGCATATGTAATAAAGGAGGACCACGTTATGTAAAAGTTATGTAGTTTCCCATGTTTTCTTTCACGTACCCTTTCTGTTAACTTTTCCATCAAAATTAATTCCCAGACATAAGCATACCAAATTTCATATAGGTTCACGTTTTTGTTTTCGTGGGATGAATATATTTGATTGAAAAGCAGCTTTTTAATTTTTTTTTAAAAAACAACACCTTTAATCGTCTTATGCTACTGCAAGGCTAAGCACATTGATGCATGCTTAAGTCCTGTCGAAGCTAATGGCATATAAGAGTTTATTCTGGGTTGAATTCCAGGTTAGGACAGCGGCTTTACGTAGACAGAAAACTGGCATTTGGCTTCCTAAATTACGAGTCCATCAGTGAAGATGAAGGCTGCTTTTATTTTGTCCGCTTGTCAAAGAAAAAAGATGGATTTTTCATAGACACATATCAACACAGGCATTTTTTTATTTAAAAAAGGGTTGAAATTTTGATGAAACATCAGGAAAAACTCCCTGCTGTCACAAGCTGTTGGCAGTGGGACAAACCCCCTTGGAAGGAGATTTGTTAGAAGTTTTAAAGCAGGGGTTTTAAAATGGGCCCTTCTCAGGGATGCCGAAGCAGCAAATGTCCTGCACTGGCAGGGGGTGGACTAGATGGCATCTGAGGGCCTTTTCAGCTTTATGGCTCCATCTACAGTATACATTTAAAGCAGGTTCATTTATTGTTTGGGGAACTTCAAATTACCGGGGTTTTTTGTCTGTAAGATGCCCCATGTCTAAAACGCCCCCTATTTTGGGGGACTCAGATTTAAGAAAATGGGGGAATGTATCCATGTATAAGATGCCCCCTAATTTTTGACATTAATTTTAAGGGGGAAAACCTAGTCTTATACGCGAAAAAACACGGTAGGTAGCTTTTGAAAACCGGATCAAATTTCTCTGCCACCTCTGGTCGCACCATGGAGGTGGACTCCCAATCGAAAAAAAGGAGTGTCTTAAATTAATCTTGCACACATTTCTCTCTCTCCTTGCCTTACAAGGTCAAGTGGTTTCCTGCTGTCGTGTGGGAGAAGAGACCTGGCTCTTCTCTGCAAATGCGCAACCTTCTCGAGAGGGGGAAGCTCAGAGCTTTTGTGGCTGGCTTTACGAGTGGCTTTCGTTTGCAGGAAATGACCATGCAGAGTGAAGTTCCTCATAATGAAGGAGGTCGGAATCGGCTTCATATCCTGCCCGTCCTTTGATTAGCAGAGTTGGTCCAGGGCCATGAATGAGCTGGTGGCCCCGGGACTGCCACCTCAGTCTCCCATAGCCTTGAAGGGTTATGGAGTCATTGAATTCGGCGAAGACGACCAGGGAGCGAGGAGTCCCCCGGCCAGAAGGTCTTACATCGCCATTGCAGTGCTGTGCTACCTTAACCTGGTGAATTACATGGACTGGTTTCTTGTCCCAGGTAAGATGACTCCCCTCTTTCTGGGGTCCATTCCCTGAAAGATAGCAGTGTTAATACTGCTTTTCAAGAGGTCCGGAGAGTGGCAACATGAGAATGGGGCCTTCTTTGCAGTGGCTTCCCCTTCTGTGTAATGCTGTCCCCAGTGAAGTTCACCTGGCGCCTACATTATACACCTTTAGGTGCCAGGCAAAAACGTCCCTTTTTAACCAGGCCTTTGGTTGATCTTGTTTACATCCAACACACTTTTAGAATATGGCTTTTGGGGGGGGGGTTGTTACTGGGTTATTGCTTTTGGTTTGATTTTATATGTTGTGGGCTTGTTGTGAACCTCCCTGAGACCTCCAGATATAGGGTGGTGCATAAGTTGAAATAATAACAATAACAACAATAACAACAGCAGCAACAGCAACAACAACAACAATAATAATAATTTAACAGCACTATTTTTTAAACAGACTCCAGACCCTCCAAGTGTCCTTATTTTCCAGGGACAGTCCTGGATTTACAGAAGCTGTCCCAGTTTTGAATTGATCCCAGAATGTCCCGCTTTTCCTTAGGACATCCCTATTTTCATTGGATAAATGTTGGAGGGTATGGAGTTATGCGACCGCCTGAGCCAAGGAGATTAGCAACTATACAACCTTTCGAAGAATATCTGTGTAGTTTTATTATGTTTTTACGTATTTTGGAAGCCGCCCAGAGTGGCTGGGGCAACCCAGGCTGATGGGCAGGGTATAGATAATAAAATGATGATGCTGATGGTGATGATGATGGACTAGGATGTTCCTATTTTCGTCAGAGAAACGTTGGAGGGTATCAGACTCCCCCACAAGGAAATGTGACAGCGTATTGGACTATTTAGTTTAGAGAGAAGGCAAGCGAGAGGCGGCATGGTAGACGTTTAGATAATTACGCCTGGCATGGAGAGAGTGGAAAGAGGAAGGTTTTTTCTCCCTTACACCATACACATGGGAACTTGTGGGCGTCCAACGAAGCTGAGTGCTGAAAGAAAGCACTTCTTCATGCGGTGAGGGCCACCAACCTGGTGGCTTTAAAAGAGGATTAATGGAGGATAAGACGTCAATGAGCCACAAGGGCTCTGCTCCCACAGCTGGAGGCAGCCATGCTTTTCAATACCCGTTGCTGGAAGCCGCAGGAGGGGAGAGGGGCTCTTGTGCTCGAATCCTGCTTGTGGGTTTCCCACAGGAATCTGGTTGGCCACAGTGAGAACAGGATGCTGGACTAAATAATAATAATAATAATAATAATAATAATAATAATAATAATTATTATTATTATTATTATTATTATTATTTATACCCCACCCTCCCCGGCTCAGATAGGGGGGGGGGAAACCAATTTAAAATGCAGCCTCATTTTAAAAGTAGCCCATAGATCAAAACCCTAAGGGGAGGGAAACATAAAGGTCAGACTGAGTCCAAACCAAAGGCCAGGTGGAACAGTTCTGTCTTGCAGGCACTGCGGGAAGATGTCAAGTCCCGCAGGGCCCTAGTCTCTTGTGACAGAGCGTTCCACCAAGTCGGGGCCAGTACTGAAAAGGCCCTGGCCCTAGTTGAGACAAGTAGTACAACGAGTAGTAAAGGCAGCTATGCATAACCTGAGCTGCTAGATCAAAGCAGCACTCCTTTGCTAAACCTCTGCTTCCCCTTCCCACAAGCTGGATGGAGCCTAATCATAAGAGCAGACTTGGATTTTACCCAGCCATGGGAGAACTTAGGCCAATCTAACCTAACTCAAAGGATAAAATGCAGGGTGGGTGACCATGCTTGCTCTCTTGGAGACAGGGTCGGATAACAAACAAACATTAAGAAGTCAAAATTAATCCTATCCCTGTAACATTGTGGTTGTAATGGATTTTTGCTGTGTTACAGGGGTGCTTCAACATGTACAGACCTACTTCAAACTACGAGACAGCAGCGCAGGCTTGTTACACACAGGTAAAACCACGTTAATACAATGGTATTCTCTTTTGTTGCTTTCAGCATGTGTATGATCATAACTGGGACTCGGGTGGCGCTGTGGGTTAAACCACAGAGCCTAGGACTTGCCGATCAGAAGGTCAGTGGTTCGAATGCCCGTGACGGGGTGAGCTCCCGTTGCTCGGTCCCTGCTCCTGCCAACCTAGCAGTTTGAAAACATGATGCACAAGTAGATAAATAGGTACTGCTCTGGCGGGAAGGTAACCGTTATTTCCATGTGCTGCTCTGGTTTGCCAGAAGCGGCTTAGTCATGCTGGCCACATGACCCAGAAGCTGTACGCCGGCTCCCTCGGCCAATAAAGCGAGATGAGCGCTGCAACCCCAGAGTCGGTCACGACTGGACCTAATGGTCAGGGGTCCCTTTACCTTTTTATGATCATAATCAATTATCTCCCCCCCCCCCCGATCACTACTGCTTTTGCCTTGCATTGAAATGAATGGGGCAGAGCGATATAATTAATTATGTAAATTACGTGAGTTGCATAATTTCACCACAGCGGACGGTGAGACAAATGGCGTCATTTTTGTCAGATGGCGAACTGCAGCAGAAAGGTAACAGCGCTGTGTGCAATGAATACAGGGTGGGGTGGGTGGATGTAATGATGTCTTGTTACATTATTGCAACTGCAAGGACAGACTCCCGTTTCAGTCCCTGGGGAGCAACTGCCAACCATTGCAGACAGTACAGAGATAGATGGACCAATGGTCTGACTTAAGGCAGCCTTCTAGAAAGAAATTCAAAATAGCGTTCTAAGAATACTGGAATTTTGTGTTATGCAAAAACCATACAAAATAAGATCTGCCTGTCGGTTAACATTTCTCAGGAAGCTGGATTTCGCACCCAACACCACATCCTGTGTTTTATTCTCTGCCCTCCCTGTGAAATTGTGGCATTTTGACAGACCTGTGCAGGCAACCTTCCCAAGTGACCGGTCTGTTCTAACACATCCTCTCATGTTCCCTTAGCCTTCTGGTCTCTGTTTCTTAAAAATAAAATAAAGGTCTGCTTCACATTCAAATAAATAAACACATTACTGTATATAGAAAACTAGCCTGCCAAGAATGAAGCCAAGACTGTCCTGACAAGCTAGTTTTCTTCAGTGCAGGGACTTTAATAATAATCATCATCATCATTCAATCAAATAAGGTATCTGAGGAGGTTAAGTTACAGTTTTGCTGCAGCTTTGTGAAAGCGAAGCCAAAAATTGCTTTCAAAATGGATTTTATGTGTGTGTGAATCTGGAACTGTGTGTGAAAAAATAATAGAAATAATAATACAATGAATCTAATCGGAAGTCAAATGTGTTTATTTTTATTTTTTTCCTTTCTCCTAATTCTTTCTTTAGGGACGCGGGTGGCGCTGTGGGTAAAAGCCTCAGCGCCTAGGGCTTGCCGATCGAAAGGTCGGCGGTTCGAATCCCCGCGGCGGGGTGCGCTCCCGTTGCTCGGTCCCAGCGCCTGCCAACCTAGCAGTTCGAAAGCACCCCTGGGTGCAAGTAGATAAATAGGGACCGCTTTCTAGCGGGAAGGTAAACGGCGTTTCCGTGTGCGGCTCTGGCTCGCCAGAGCAGCGATGTCACGCTGGCCACGTGACCCGGAAGTGTCTTCGGACAGCGCTGGCCCCCGGCCTCTTGAGTGAGATGGGCGCACAACCACAGAGTCTGGCAAGACTGGCCCGTATCGGCAGGGGTACCTTTACCTTTTACCTTTAATTCTTTCTTTAAATCTCCCCCCTTTCTTCTTTTTCTTTCTACCTTCTTCTTCTTCTTTTTGTCCTTTTCTTTTTGATCTGCTAAGAAAGAGATAAAGAGATAAAAGTTAAATATGAAAATTTGAGCAAGCTAAAGTGATGTTCTGCAATTTTTCAACTACTGTTAAAGATGGTCAATTGTAATGAACTGATGTAGTAGTTATTGTGGATTTTTTTGTTATTATTGAATCTTAAATCAAATATTAAAAACACACACACAAAAATGGATTTTGTGTGTGTGAGAGTAGGTCTTGCCTGTGGCAAGGGTTGTCCATATTCTATCGTAGGGCTTAAAAAATGAGAGGGGGTTCCCCTGCTGTGTTTCAAACCACAGGGAGCACCTCTGTTTTGGGCCAGTTCAAGGTTAGTGAGACATAACTTCAGCTATGCTTGTTTTTCTATATACTTGGTTGTTTTACAGTGGTGCCTCGCAAGACGAAATTAATCCATTCCGCGAGTCTCTTCGTCTTGCGGTTTTTTCGTCTTGCGAAGCACAGCTATTAGCGGCTTAACGGCTTAGCGGCTTTAAGAAAAAGGAAACAAACTCGCAAGACGTTTCGTCTTGCAAAGCAAGCCTATAGGGAAATTCGTCTTGCGGAACGACTCAAAAAACGGAAAACCCTTTCGTCTAGCAAGTTTTTCGTCTTGCGAGGCATTAATCTTGCGGGGCACCACTGTATTTCTAAAAGTGCGTTCCACCAATTAATCTGGAGCGGAACTTCGAACCAGCCTGTAATTTCCTGGATTCTGCCCTCCCACACAGATTTCTTTTTAAAAATTGGTGTTAGACTGGCTGTTTTCCAGCCCCCTGGTGTGGAGGCCACGCTTAGGGACAAGTTATCTGCTTTTTGTTAGAAGATCAGCACATCCACGTGGGAGTTCTTCAGAACTCTCAAGTTCATGCCGTTCAAACCTGGCTCGCTTATAATTTGCTGTTGTTGTTCTACCACCCTTTATCAAGAGATCCCAGGGCGGTGTACAACATTCAGAGCACATTTACAGAGCACAACCATAAAATAATTTTTAAAAAGCATAATAATAAAATAATCATAATAACAGTCCCTCCCACAGCTTTAACAAGGACATGGATTATTTAACAGCCAAAGGCCTGCGTAAAGAGGAATGCTTTTGCCTGGTGCCTAAAAACATGTAATGTTGGTGCCAGGTGAGCCTTCCTGGGGAAAATACTCCACAAATGGGGAGCCACCACCGAAAAGGCTCGTTCTGGTGTTGCCCCCCTCTGGACCTCTCACGGAGGAGGCACACAAAGAAAGGCCTCTGTTGATGATTAAAGGTTGAGGACTGGTTCCTATGTGGAGAGGCGTCCTTGAGGTATTGATGTCCTGAGCCATGTAATAAAGCCTACATTTCCTCACCTCTATTTGCCTCGTTTCTTCAGCCCCTCTGTGTGAAAAAGTCCAGTTTAGGCCCAGGCATCTGCCCTACCCTGAATTCTGTGGCCATCATGTCTGACTTTGGAGTTTCAAGGAGGAATGGCCACCATGAGGAAACAGGCTAGATTGGCCTTCAGTCAGATCCGGCAGTGGGCTTTTATGTTTTTAATCTAAACAAAGATTCTTAAAATATGCTTCTGTTTTTCTAAATTCACCTTGAATATAGCCAAGAGTGACACCCACACTCTGGGTAGACCCAAGTTCAAATCCCATGGAGTTTACTGGGAGACCCTAGGCCAGTCAGTCTCAGCCTAGCCTACCTCACAGGGTTGTAATGAGGATAAAATGTGTGTGCTTATGGCAAATCTTAGATCTTCGGTAGAAGGATGGTGAAGTGTGAAAACTTAACAGATGGGGTAGGCACAGGGATAGCTCAGTCAGTAGAGCATGAGACTCTTAATCTGGGGGCCATGGGTTCGAGCCCCCATCGGGCAAAAGATTGCAGCAAGTTTGACCCTTGTGGCCCCTTCCAGCTCTTAAGATTCTAGGAATTGAAGAAAAGTGAAATAATGTGATAAATGCACTGAAATGGAAGCCCCGGTGAACTCCCATACAGCTGTCAACATTCATCACTCCTCTTGCTTCTTTCCACAACAGTTTTTATTATCTGTTTCTTGGTGGCGGCCCCTCTTTTTGGTTATCTCGGTGACAGATACAACCGCAAAATCATCCTGAGTGCTGGGGTAATCCTCTGGTCAGGCGTTACTCTTGCCAGCTCATTCATCCCAGAATGGGTAAGTGTCAATTATTTGGGTGTTTTTTTTTGGGGGGGTGTGTGTCTGCATGAATAGATGTTCCATTTTGGGAATGGTACACCTCCTAGTGGCGTTCAAACATTCAGCAAATCCAAAGCTGGTTCAATGAGCTGAGGCTCAACTATTACAAATATGAAAGGGGTGGGGTGGGGGGAAGGAAACATATTTTAAAAATTAGCTAATGTTCCCCCCCCAAGAAAAATAGGTGCCAGAATTCACTGTGAAGTTGTTACAATAAGTCACCAGGCAACTTAGGGCAGCCCTGAACAGATGCCAGTTTGATAAGAGCCCCATTTACTGATTGTGGAGGTGCAAAAAACTACAGCTGGACTCATAGGTCTTTTAAAAAAGTGTAGACTTGCACATGCTAGCCAACTTCTGTTTTGACTTGAAATGTACGTTTTGGGCTTCTCAGAAGTACATAAAGGCAAGAAGGCAGTGAGGGGAGCGCCGGCTCACAATGATGCCCACCTGAGAGGTGATGGAACTGCACTCCTGCATGCTCCGGCTGGGGGAAAAAACACTGGTTAGGAGAATAACTCAATTTTACCTAGGCTGCCCAATTTAGAACGGAGGGAACTGCCTAGAGAAACTCTGAGTGATATTCTGGGCAATAAAGGTGCAAGCTTTATGTTATACAGTGGTACCTCGGGTTACATACGCTTCAGGTTACATACGCTTCAGGTTACAGACTCCGCTAACCCAGAAACATAGCTGTCAAGCATCCCTTATTTGGCGGGACAGTCCCTTATCCCAGTGCCATGTCCCGCTGCTGTCCCTTATTGATGATGTCCCTTAAATTTCCCGGGTTTCAAAGGAAGCAGCTCCTCTCCCTCCCTCCCTCCCTGCCGGCCAGGGAGGAGGGAGGCTCCAGCTGTGTTGCTTGGCTGCGTTGCTCACCCAATAAGGAGTCTAAGAACGACTGGGGGGTGGATCTTGCATGCCTTGTGCTGATCAAATTGGCTGCATTGCCTGGGACTTGCCTTTGCTCAGCGCTTCCCAGCGGAGAGGTGACGGTTGTTTTCCTTGAGGCTTGAGGCTTCGTTTGGCTGCTGGCTGGGCTTTCTGCCTTTGGCTCGGAGGGGCTCAGAAGTGCTTGGAAAATCCCTTATATTGGCTGCTGATCCCTTATTTTTGAGGCTGCTGGACCCTTATTTTCAAATCTGTAAATTGACAGCTATGCCCAGAAATAGTGCTTCAGGTTAAGAACTTTGCTTCAGGATGAGAACAGAAATCGTGCTCCGGCGGCACGGCAGCAGCGGGAGGCCCCATTAGCTAAAATGGTGCTTCAGGTTAAGAACGGTTTCAGGTTAAGTACAGACCTCCGGAACAATTTAAGCACTTAACCCAAGGTACCACTGTAATTGTTTGCCTGGACTGGATCGTGGGCTACAGTCTATGAGACAGAAAAGAGAGTAAAGAAAGGGAAATTTGTATATCTTTTTACGTCTTTTCTTCTGCTCGGCATGAGCTTCTTCTGAAGGGACAGGGGGGTAAATTAAAATAAACAAAGGTTATGCCGAGTGCTGGAAGGTGCTATTTAATGTGTGCCCTTGTCAATATCTTGCACGTCTCCTCCCCCTCCTCAAGATGCCTTGGCTGTTCTTCATTTCGCGGGGACTGGTAGGTGCTGGCACCGCCAGTTACTCCACTATCGCGCCCACCATCATTGCTGACCTGTTTGAGAAAGACCGCAGGACGTGCATGCTCTCGCTCTTCTATATCTTCATACCGGTTGGAAGGTAGATGTCTGTTCTCCAAGACAAGTTGGGAAGGATCTGGGGTTATGGGGCAGCACGGAAGTGGGGAAGGGGAGAAGCGGGGGGGGGGGATGTTCTGGTTGGAGCCTCTTCATTTTCTGTTTAGCAAGGGTGGGGCTGTTGAAGAGAGCCATCTGTCTATCCACTCCATCCTTGCATTTATGATGTTCAAGCTGAAAGGGCCAATCATTTTGTACCCAAAAACACCTAGGAGGAATTACCAGCAAGATTCAGGGAACTCAAGACATGCAGAACTGCAAAAAACATATTTATGGGAAGAAAGGCAGTGTGAGAAACTGTGATATGAAAGTGAGGAGCTAAATGGCACCTTAAACCTAGGTTATGGGTGCAACAATGGAATGTCTAGGTGCGCTTTTTATAACAAGAATACAAAGCTGAAAATGAATGAACTGCAGCTAAAATATTATGTTCATTTTTCACATGGTCTAGTCCTTCTCTTGCCTACCCCCCTAATATTATTAAAAGGGTTTCTTATCCAGTCTTAAGAGAGTAATTGGAAGTGGGGAGGCAGAAAAAGTCCTCCTTTCCTTCCACTCTGCAGTTTTAATCTGAAATCTTAGGCACAGTACTGCGCCCAGAGCTCAGAAACTTCTTGCGCTGATGAAATTCCCTGTTGCAAAATGCGCCTAGAACAATGGGAGTTTCGAAAATTGAAGAAAGGTCTAGAGGAGCAGTGAGGGAGAACCTCTCAAACAGCCCCATGAGAACTGAATGTGCTCAGTAGTCACAAAATGCCGACTGTTTTGGGGTTTGTTTTTTTGAGAGGGGACACAGAAAACCAGGTTGGGTGGAATGGGAATTCGGAACAGCAGCAGTCCCCACTGCAACACTTTGTTGCACGTCCCACTTACTACATTGATATCCCTCTTTCCTTTCCTCACGGAACTCCATGTGTCATACATGCAGGTTACCTAGGTGACCTTTCATCCATGCACTGGCCAAACCTGGACCTGCTTAACTTCAGCAAGATAGCTGCATCCAAGGCCACATTCTAGACTCTTGACTGGTCCTGATTGTTGTTTGAAGAGGGTCAGTCATTGGCCACAATTGGAAGCCATGTTTTATTGAACTGCAGAGACTCTAAACTTTTTAAACTGGAGAGGCTAAGAAGTGACCACCAAAGCTCCAACATGAAAATAGGGACGACCTATTCCATCATCGGGACGTGGGTGGAACTGTGGGTTAAACCACAGAGCCTAGGACTTGCCGATCAGAAGGTCGGCAGTTCGAATCCCCATGACGGGGTGAGCTCCCGTTGTTCGGTCCCTGCTCCTGCCAACCTAGCAGTTCAAAAGCACGTCAAAGTGCAAGTAGATAAATAGGTACCGCTATGGCGGGAAGGTGAACGGCATTTCCATGCGCTGCTCTGGTTCTCCAGAAGCGGCTTAGTCATGCTGGCCACATGACCCAGAAGCTGTACGCCGGCTCCCTCGGCCAATAAAGCGAGATGAGCGCCGCAACCCCAGAGTCAGCCATGACTGGACCTAATGGTCAGGGGTCCCTTTACCTTTTATTCCATTATCATAAACATCACCATCATTTTATTATTTATACCCCGCCTCTCTGGCTGAGTTGCCTCAGCCACTCAAGGCGGCTTCCATCATATATTAAAACACAAAGGAACATTAAACATTAAAAAAACTTCCCTATAGAGGGCTGCCTTCAGATGTCTTCTGAAGGTTGTATAGTTCCTTATCTCCTTGGCTCAAGGGTTGCGTAACTCCAAACCCCCCAACATTTCTCCGCTGAGAATAGAGACATCCTAAGGAAAAGCGTCACATTCCAGGGTCAAATCAGAAACCGGGGTGGCTTCTGTAAATCCGGGACTGTCCCTGGAAAATAGGAACACTTGGAAGGTCTGGAGCACTGGCATGGGAGATGTGCACCCTAATCCTGAGATGTAGCCCCTCCCCTGTCCATGCTCGGTGGTTTGAAGCAGTCAGATAAAAACGGTGCATTTCCTTTCTCTTGCAGTGGGCTCGGTTACATCATGTCATCTGGAATGGCGATGGCTACTGGCTACTGGAACTGGGGGTTCAGGGTGAGTCTTTTCTGGATGGACCCCCCCTTTTGGGGGCAAAATGGCAGGGTTCTTCCACTCTGCACTTTATCAAGGGAGTTTCATTCAGCTGAACAAATCCGACCGCTGGCCTCAGCCCACCGTCAGCCTGTCTTGTGAAGAGGCAGAAACTGTTTGAAACTGAAGAGAGTGGCTTGAGATCTGCAATGCTAAAACCAAGGGCCTGCTTTGAAAAATGATGGGCAAGAGCTTATAGGAACTCCATCTTTTCTGCCATTATTATTATTATTATTATTATTATTATTATTATTATTATTAATACACTGCTCTATACCCAGAGGTCTCAGGGCGGTTCGCAGAATAAAATCGAAATATAAAACCACAAAATGCATAATCGAAACAAAATCAACAACCCAATAACCCTTCCCCCAATAACTCATTGATCATCAGAATGTTGCCACTTTAATCATGGTCATTGTTGAGAGCCCTTTTCCTGCAACATCAGCAACTGTTCCTTTCTCTGTAGGTCACCCCTTGTATGGGAGCTGTAGGCTTGGCTTTCCTCATTTTCTTGGTTCCTGAATCATCCCGGCGTGGAGCTACGGAGCCCACAGCTGACAAGGTCAGAGGGGATTCAACTTGGCTCAAGGACATTTCATCGCTTTGCAAAAAGTAAGTATCATTATTATTATTATTTGAATTTTCAGTGCCTGTGTGGAATGCCAACCCTTTGCTTGGAAGTGCAGCTTTTAGCCTTAGGTAGTATAATATGCATATATAAATTCTATCGGCCATCGAAGGACAACACTGTGTCCCTGATGAAGACCAGGCTCAAGTCCCCAAAACCTTATATACGTGCATCTTGAAGGTGCTGTAAGTTGAACTGGATCCAGTAGAGGGCGATGTTGACTTGGAGAAATCTTCTCTAGGCATCCTTTGAACATTTCATGCTCAGGGCCAAGTCAGGTAGCGAACATTGTCTGCTCTGGAAGGTAAAAGACACCTGGGTGGTTAATACTGTGTCCCCTACTTGGCTAGCATGCAAAATGCTTGTTTATGGTGTAGGCACTGAAATTCCAGGCTTGTGAAACACTTGCCACCCTCCCTGCTAACATTTTGTCATTTCTGTAGGTTGCAGTTGGCTTTCAGCAACGTCGAAAGGCACTCTAAAAATTAAAAATCACCTGATTACCCAGAATGCTCTGGTGAACATGCAAGGCTAGCCCCCAGAGCTATCAAACATCACCTTGTCATCCTTCTCCTTAATTAAAAGATGCATAGAGTATACTGTCAGCCATCCGGGTACTCTACAGCAGGTGGAGGGGGGGTGTTTTTCAGCCCAGGGGCCACATCACTTCGCAAGCAGCCTTCTGGGGCCGCATGCCGATGGTAGGCAGAGCCAAAGGCAAGAGTGGGTGGAGCCAGAGGCCAAAGTTCAACACAGAGCAACACAGCGGCCGCTGGTAGGACAGAAGGCAGGAAGCCCACCAGAAGGTGGCGCCAGAGCCCATGACAAACAAAGCCAGCTAGTTCTAGTTTTACCCCATCCTCCTCCCTGCTGAGTTCTAGAAGGGGCAACACTGAAGTGGAGGAGGAGGAAGGTGGTAGCCTGGGCCTACTTCCTGGGCAGGTTATAAGGAAGAAGGCAGGCAGGTTAGGGGCTGACTGAGGGCAGATGGAGGTTGGTGGGGCAGCCCCTCCACTGGAACAACAGGTGTGACCCTTGCCTTTTGTCAGTCAGCTGTATTCCAGCCATGTAAAGGCCAGGGGTATCGACACATAGATCACAGAATTGTAGAGTTGTAAGGGACCACATGGTTCATCTCGTCCAGCCCCTGCAACGCAGGAATATTTTGCCCAATGTTGGGGTGGAACCCACGACCCTGAGATCAAAAGTCTTATGCTCTGCCAACTGAGCTATCTGTGCATCTCTCCATTCACCCAGACGAGCAAAGGCTGTTACAGTGGTACCTCGGGTTACATATGCTTCAGGTTACAGACTCCACTAACCCAGAAATAGTACCTCGGGTTAAGAACTTTGCTTCAGGATGAGAACAGAAATCATGCTCCGGTGGCACGGCGGCAGCAGGAGGCCCCATTAGCTAAAGTGGTCTTCAGGTTAAGTACAGTTTCAGGTTAAGAACGGACCTCTGGAACGAATTAAGTACTTAACCTGAGGTACCACTGTATCACAGTCAGCCAGAAGCACTCCAGGAAATTGTGGAACGCGGCAAGCCAAGGCTGTGGCCCAGGGAGGGGAGGTACAGTATGGCCTGATGAAATCTTGAGGGCCTGACAGAAAGGCCTCAAGGGCCGCATTTGCCCCCCAGGCCTGAGGTTTTCCCTCCCCCTGATTTGGAGAGCAATAACAAGCCAAAACCCAAAACACCAAGGAAACTATTTAAATATGTTTCTTATTCCACCCCACCCCCTGTCAGCTGGAGTTTCTTGTGGTCCTCGCTGGGGGTGACAGCCATGTCCTTCATCGTCGGAGCTCTGGGGTTCTGGATGCCGGTGTTCCTTTCCAGAGCTCAGCTCATCCATGACGCTGTCCCTCCCTGCCAACAGGAAGGGTCGTGTGACACCTCCAACAGGTGAGACAAGCTTCCTTTGGGAGAAGCAAACAGAGGGCATGGGGAACGCTCCATAGGAGAGATTATCTGAATATTTTTTATTTACTGTATTTTTAAAGAAATGTGACAACAGGAGGCTGTGGCAGAGATGGAGCATTGCAGAAACATCACACCTGTTTGATTTGTGAACCACCCTGAGATCTATGGGTATAGGGTAGTAGGCAAATTTAATAATGAAAATAAGTAATTCCTGCCTGCCACAGCATGGTCAAAGCACAAAGATACAGTCATGTAATAATAATGATAATAAAATAGTCAGCCAATCGACAGAGCCAATGTTTATAAGGTTATATAACCTGCTGTGGTCTTAAAAAAAACCACACATATTTTTTCCTGTCCTCCAGCCAGATATTTGGAGGAATAACTATTGCAACTGGCATCTTTGGAGTCATTGCTGGAGCAGAAGCCGCCAGAAGATTCAAGAAGACCAACGCAATGGCTGACCCTCTGATCTGTGCTGTGGGCTTGCTGACGTCATCTCCATCCATGTATCTGGCGATCATGCTGGCTCAGGAAAGCATCATAGCTACATATGTAAGTATGTGGCAAGAGGGGTTTTGCCTTAGCGGCTGGCCTTGTCTGAAAGACAACCTTGCCTATGGGGGAACTGGGCGTTCATGGCAGAGATACTGGCTTGGAAAGGTTTCTAGTCCTCAAGATGGCAAGACTGAAATATTGTAGGAACCGAGACGAACCTTTCTGAATTTCATATATGTGGGCAGGCAAAATCACCAGGGAAGCCTGGACTGGGTGCCAGGGGCCTCTAGCATACTCATCAATATACCCTATCTAGAATCTAATTTTTTGGCCATTGCACTGGGTAAATCTGCACCCTGAAAGTTAGCTGCTTTTTGCTTTAAGCAATCAAATTGTACCAGCCAAACAGCTTGGAAACCTGAGAGGGAGGCTTCCCATAGTTGGCTGTAGCAGCTGTTGGAGCCTGTAGTAGCTGCTACTGTCACTTGGGCACTTCCTTGTTCACAAGCTCCTGCCAGCCAGTTTATGAGCAAATCTATATCCTTCTGCTTGCTCTTGCTGGCAAAAATGAAGGATCTTCCCATGTTCCTAATTTGTCTCAGCTGAAACCCAACATTGGTAACACCGTCCTCAGCTCATTGGTGGGAAGGTGGGGTCGTGTAAGGGTTGCTGGTACCCAAAACATGAACCGTTAAAAGGATGGAGAGTAGTATTTGGCCTCTATTTGATCTTTCTGTGTGTGCATTTGCAAATCTCCAGTGCCCTGCCAACTCATGACGTTCTCTCTACCTCTCTTCCTCTCTGTGTGCTTTTTCCCTATTTCAGATTTTTATTGCCCTTGGAGAATTTCTTTTATCCTTAAACTGGGCCATTGTGACTGACATACTGCTGGTGAGTTCAGCTGTCTTTTTCTGTCATATTGATTTTGCTGATAACCTGATACACCTATTCTTAGATCTCTGCTCTTTCTCTCTCTGTTTTCTACCTTCACATCCCTTCAGGTCCATAGCCAGAAACGTAGTGGAGACAAGAGTCACATGGGGGGTGGGGTGGGGTGGGGGAAGCGGGGCATTTTAAGTTAATGTGAAATGAGTTAACATGCAATCCCATGAATATTATCCTGCTGGCACGTCCTTCCGTATTGAGTGGGGCTTGCTCCCAGGAAAGTGTGTGCAGGATTGCAGCCAAAGAGGATGTCTTCAGCTAGAGGACTGTCCTTGCAGACTGGGATGTGTGGCCACCCTCCTTGCACACCATCCAGAAGTGGTCTCTCTCTTTCAGACATTTGCAGTGCAAAGCCAGGCACACCCAGGAAATTGTGTAGTTAGTCTCTGTGGTAGGGCTGGCATATCTGCTAGCAACCCAGGTACCAGCAGTATGTTGCTAGGAAGGCAAGGCCCACGTTAGAAGCACTGATATGGCAACCACAGCCTGCTTCCTTATGTAGGTGTTACAGCCTGGCTGGATGCAGAGGAAACATTGGAGGACCGGCTGGGGAACCCCCAAGGGAAGAAGGCTCAGAACTCGGGGACTGGTGGTGGTCAGAGGGAGAAGGAGGGAGGAGGTGTTGGAAACTGAAGAGGCAACAGGGCTGAGTGAGCAGGAAGAGTCTGTGGCAGAGAGAAGTCCGGAATCAGAGGCAGTAGCTGAAGCAGAAGAGAGAGGCCAAGAGGAGTCAGGTTGGTGCAGAGTCGCCAGTGGCTCCCTCTCCTGCTGTGACAGGCTCCCCTCCTGCCCCCCTGTTTCACAGAAGCAGAAGAGGCATGAAAAGGGTGGAGGAGAGGTTGGCTTCATGGAGGCACAGTCTCCGATTGCTTGGGGAAAGCCCTGGAAAGGAGAGGACCTAGGCAGCTATGTGGAGGTGAGGACCTTCAGTCTCAACAACTGCTTCACAGGGGCAAGACCTGCCGGAGATGAGTTGCTGTGCTCATTAGGCCTGACACTCCTGCATCAATTGTGTTTTTTGCTGATAAAGAGTTAACCCCGACTTGCACAGTGTGATTTACTGCTGGCTCGCTCAAGCACATCTAGCTGGTCTTTCCTACTTCCTACTTACCTTGACCATTGGGTCTTTTCCCTTTGACTTTTCAGTATGTCGTGAAACCAACATGCCAATCCACCGCACTATCTGTACAGATTTTTGTTAGTCATTTGTTTGGTGATGCCGGAAGCCCCTATCTCATTGGAATCGTAAGTTATATGGGCAGCTTTAGAGGTGGGGGTGGGCTGAATTCGCCCCCACCCCTTGGTGGGAAACGGTACAAAGTGATCTCATTTTACAAGCGCATAGAAATTCTTTGCACTGTGAGTGAATAGCTTGGGGCTTCATTTCATGGCAGGTTGAAGCAGGTTCTTGATCCTGGCGATGTTCAAATGGACCAGAGGCAGAAGGCATAATCCGAGACAGGCAGGAAATCAGGCAACAGATAAGGGAACCAACCTAGGACTAGAGGCAGATAGGCAGTCGAAAGATGGTCAGCTGGTCAGGTAGAGAGCTAAGTGGATGAAGACCAAAGGATCAGATGTAGGAAAGCCATCAGAGGTCCAAGACCACCTGCACCACTGCTAATATATTAGCCAATTTACTCAGACTACTAAGAAATAAAGTGAGTTTTACACAGCCAGCCAGGCTCCTGTTGGTCCCTCAAGAACCAAATGGTCTTGAATAGGGTTACGGGGAGAAATTCAATACCGTTTGCATTTAAAGGAAACCTCCCTAATTTGCACTTTCGAAAACACAATTCTTCTACGCTTCAAAATTAGAAATTCTCCTTTAAACAATCATCCCCCACAAAATACTTAGGCTAGACTTAATTTTGCAAATCAGTTCTCTGGCCAATTAATGGGCATATAATGAGGTTGAGTGTGCATAAAAACACACATACAGTATTTTTGAAGATAGCAGACAAATATGCATTACATTAGAGAAAATACTCTGCGAAAATGTGCGTCTTAGGCAAAATTGCACAGAAGCATATGTATATTAGCAAAAATCTGTGCTAAAATGTTAATGAATTTTCATGAGGACTTTCTTATAAAATAAATTTGCAAAGTGGAAATGTGGAGAACTGACCTTAGAACAGAAAAAAATGAGAGAAAATGACATATTTACCCATTTCCTAGATGTGGAAGAACTTAAGTCCCAGCTTTGGCCACCGGAGGGCTGGCACCAGTCAGGCCGTCAAACGCATCAGTTTATGCATCCCAGAGTTTTTGCTTCATCTGTGTTAGGGCCCAGGAAGCTTCAGGGAAGGCTGAGGTCAAGTCCAAAAGCAACCAGAGAAAACAACACAGTCAGACTGAACGGGGTTCAAATCCCCCACTTGGCCCTGAAGCTCACTGGGTGAGCTGGCAGGGGGTCAGTCACTGCCTCTTGACCTAGCCTTCCCTGCCAGGGTTGCTGTGGGGATTAAATGGGGAGTGGGAAAACCATGGGTGCCACCTTGAGCTCCTTAGAGGAAGAGGGTGGGGCATAAATGCAAGAAGCAGAGTAAAAAATCACGTTCCCCCTCCAGATCTCCAGTGAAATCCAGAAGCGACAGGCAGGGGCTTCTTCCTACCTCGCGTCCTTCCGGAGCCTGCAGTACAGCTTTGTCGTATGCTGCTTTGTCGGTGCCCTTGGGGGAGGCTGCTTCCTCCTGACCGCCCTCCGGATCAAAGAAGATCGGCTGGAAGCCGCACCTCCACCCCCACCGCCAGTTAAAGGTAACTCTGACCCTTGGGCTCAGCGCATCTGTACTGCGAGCATCACCCTGGCTTTGGACATCATTTTTTGCCAGTCTGACCTTTCCAGCTCAACCATTGAGTCATAGAATTGTAGAGTTGGAAGGGACCTCAAATGCCATCCAGTCCAACCCTCTGCAATGTAGGGATCTCAGCTAAGGCATCCATGACTGATGGCCACCCAACCTCTGCTTAAACACCTGCAAGGAAGGAGAGTCTACAACCTCCCGGGGCAGGGGCGGAGGAAGCGGGGTGCAGTGGGTGCAGACAGCCCCAGGCGTCAAAACTGGGTGTGTGTGTGACAAAATGCTGGGCAACACTCACCGCGGGGCCTGCAGTGTGCTGTGCCATGTGTCTCTCCTGGGAGAGATGCGGTGGCTTGGGTATACACAGGCTTCACGCTGCCCAAATGGTCCGCCCGCTGCCTCCCCACCCCCAGCTGTAGGGCGGCTGAGTGGGAGGAGGCAGGCAGACTCCGGAGGCCCCACGGTGCGCCCTGCCCGTATGGGCGGCTCGCCCTGCCCTCGCCCTTCCTCTATGTGTGGTGTAGTGGTTAAGAGCAATAGACTCGTAATCTGGTGAACCGGGTTCGCATCTCCGCTCCTCCAGATGCAGCTGCTGGGTGACCTTGGGCCAGTCACACTTCTCTGAAGTCTCTCAGCCTCACTCACCTCACAGAGTGTTTGTTGTGGGGGAGGAAGGGAAAGGAGAATGTTAGCCGCTTTGAGACTCCTTCAGGTAGTGATAAAGCGGGATATCAAATCCAAACCCTTCTTCTACTCTTCTTCTTCCTGGGCGCACCGCCCCAGGCGCCCGAGCAGCTTCCTCCGCCGCTGTCCCGGGCCAGACCGTTCCACTGTCAAGCAGCTCTGACTGTCAGAAAGTTCTTCTTGATGTTAAATCAGCATTTCCTTCCTTGTAGCTGGAAGCCATTGGTTCGAGGCCTACACTCCAGAGAAGGAGAAAACAAGCTTGCTCCATCCTCCATGTGATACCCCTTGAGATATTTGAAGGTGTCTATTGTATCTTCTCTCAGTCTTCTCTTTTCCAGGCTAAATATACCCAACTCCTACCATGGGAACTGTAGTTCGCCGAACATTATTAAATGGTCTTGTCCAGGGGTCAGCTAACTTTTTCAGCAGGGGGCCAGTCCACTGGGGAGCCGGGCTATATTTTGGAAAAATAAAAATGAACAAATTCCTATGCCCCACAAATAACCCAGAGATGCATTTTAAATAAGAGCACACATTCTACTCATGTAAAAACATGCTGATTCCCGGACCATCTGCAGGCCGGATTGAGAAGGCGATTGGGCCGCATCCAGCCCCCAGGCCTTAGTTTGCCTACCCATGGTCTTGTCATTTGAGCTTGCCCATCTGCTTTGCACCTCTGTCGTTCCTATGGCTCATAGGAGGAAAGTCTGGGAAGTTCTAATAAATATAAGTCCAGCGTTATGTGCTTTCAAGTCCCCTGTGGGTCTGATGGTGCAGATTAGGGCAAAAGATGTAGAGGAAAGGATTTGGACGACTGCTTTAAGCTACACCTGTCCCAGTCTCCTGCCCAAGAATGCTGGCAAGTGCCCTTTCTTGCATGTCAAGTAAAGGTAAAGGGTAAAGGGACCCCTGACCATTAGGTCCAGTCGTGGCTGACTCTGGGGTTGCAGCGCTCATCTCGCTTTATTGGCCGAGGGAGCCGGTGTACAGCTTCCAGGTCATGTGGCCAGCATGACTAAGTCACTTCTGGAGAACCAGAGCGGCACATGGAAACGCCGTTTACCTTCCCACTGGAGCGGTACCTATTTATCTACTTGCACTTTGATGTGCTTTCGAACTGCTAGGTTGGCAGGAGCAGGGACCGAGCAACGGGAGCTCACTCCATTGCAGGGATTCGAACTGCCGACCTTCTGATCGGCAAGTTCTAGACTCTGTGGTTTAACCCACAGCGCCACCCGCGTCCCATGTCAAGCTACTTTATTCCAGCGCAGGCTCAGCAACGAGTGAAGAGCAGGAAAAAGCCCAGAGATGCAGCAAGGATCAAAGCACGAGGAGAGGAGCTTCAAGGTTCAGGGACAAGGCCAGGGATACAGATCAGAAGCTGGGAGCTGAGACTGCACAGGAGTGTGAAGTTGTTCCGAGAATCAGCCCTCCCTGCCCATCATGCTTTTAAACAGAGATTGTCTGACTACTCAAATGCATGCATGCCCTACAGACAACCCCTGACCTGTGTGTTGAATAAAGAGGTTTCGAGGAGAGAGTTTCACTGTCGCATAGCATAGTTAGCACAATGGTGATTGCTACCAAGCACATTAAAACTTGGTTGGCTTCACATCTGCCCTCACCCACCTTTAAACAAGCATTCCCCACAAAACTACTTAGGCTAGAATAAATCACAGACACCTAGCTTTGCAAATAAGCGAATATTTTACTCGCAGAGTTTCCAGCAACTGAGTCTCCATTTGCTGGCAGTAATATAAAGAAGAAAAAGGTTCCCAGACGTTCATGCTCCTTCTTGGGGGCTGGGTTTACGCCTGACTCTTGATGCGCTGCTGTTGTCTCAGAGACAAGGTCTGACGCTGCTCCCCCATGGGTAGCTAAGTCTGTGCCACCTCCTCTCCTCAGGTGGAAAAATGGCCTCCCCAGGCATATGAAGGCCCCATCTCCTCACCCTGAGCCAAGTAAGGGGGCAGCTGCGAGACTTCCAGAGCAAGAGTCTCAACAGAGGGTACTGGCTCTGAGTTGGGGAGCTTGAGTGGGAGGGCCCTGCTCCATGGCCTCTTCATCCATCCTTGTTGTCCTCTGTTGTACACAGATTCATGGAAGATAAAGCTGTCACAGCCTACTAAACCTGAGGGCTATGTTCAGCTTCCACGAGAGGCTCCAGGTTGCGAGGGAGTTTGCGGGGGGGGGGGTGACACTGCATGTGAAGTCATGTGTGCAACGTCAGGACATTGGGAGGAGCCAGGGAGCGGAGCCAAGCCCAGCAGTGGCATAGCTGTCAACTGTCCCTTATTTGGCGGGAAAGTCCCTTATCCCAGCGCTGTGTCCCGCTGCTGTCCCTTATTGATGATGTCCCTTAAATTTCCTGGGTTTCCAAGGAAGCAGCTCCTCTCCCTCCCTGCCGGCCAGGGAGGGAGGCTCCAACTGTGTTGCTTGGCTGCGTTGCTCACCCAATAAGGAGTCTAAGAACGACTGGGGGGGTGGAGCTTGCATGCCTTGTGCCGATCAAATTGGCCGCGTTGCCTGGGGACTCGCCTTTGCTCAGTGCTTCCCAGCGGAGAGGTGACGGTGGTTTTCCTTGCTGCATCCCCTTTGCCGAGTTACTGCGCTGTGGGAACCACCACTTGAGGCTTCGTTTGGCTGCTGGCTGGGCTTTCTGCCTTTGGCTCGGAGGGGCTCAGAAGTTGAACATACCTGTGCTCTGAAAATCCCTTATTTTGGCTGCTGATCCCTTATTTTCGAGGCTGCTGGTCCTTTATTTTCAAATCTGTAAGTTGACAGCTATGCTGCAGCAGTGGCACAGCTTCAATGGCTGCAGGCTCCTCCTCCTGCCACTACCACCTGCCTCTCAGCGCTTGGCTTTGCAATTGGCCTCCTCCATCCCCTGATTTTTTTGACATGGGGGGGGGGTCTCAGCCAAATATATTGGGAAACCCCAGTTGGGCTCGGCCCCTAGCAGTTGGTGTTGTGGCCTCCAAGGCAGTATGCTTCTGTATACCAGTTGCTGGAAAAAGCAGAAGGGGAGAGTGCTCTTGTGTTCGAATCCTGATTGCGGGGTTCCCACAGGCATATGTGGTTGGCCACTGAAGGGATAGGATGCTGGACTAGGTTGGCCACTGGCCTGATCCAGCAGGGGTCTCCTTACATTCTTCTAGAAGATATGAGCAGAGCAGCCCCTTTGCAGCAGAAGTAACAGGAGATAATATTAGCTTTCTCGCTAGGAGATGCTAATTTGACAACCGCAGCGTGAACGAAACCCACCAGCTTTTGGCGCTCTCCTTATCAAGCAGTTTCGGGAATCCCCAGGAGGACATACTCCTCTCTAAAACTCCCGCTGAAAAGTGTGTTCGGAATATATCGAAAGCATTCCAGGAAAGGAGCTAAATAAGTCTTTTCAGGAAAGCTTCCAAAGAGAATAGGTTTTAAAGCAAGAATGAGGAACCTGGTGCCCTCCAAGATGCTGAACCCCATAAGCCCATACCCTCCAACAGTTCTCGGATGATAATAGGGACATCCTATTCCATAATACTAATACTAATAATAATTTTATCATTTATACCTCACCCATCTTACAGGGTTGCCCCAGCCACTCTGGGCGGCTTCCAACTTAAAACATTTTTTAAAAAGCTTCCCTAATACAGGGCTGCCTTCAGATGTCTTCTCAAGGTTGTATAGTTACTTAACTCTTTGGCTTGGGGGTCACATAACTCCATAACCTCCAACATTTATCTGATGAAAATAGGGGTGTCCTAAGGAAAAGCAGGACATTCTGTGGTAATAATAATAATAATAATAATAATAATAATAATAATAATAATAATTTATTACTTATACCCGCCCATCTGGCTGAGTTTCCCCAGCCACTCTGGGCGGCTCCCAATCGAGTGTTAAAAACAATACAGCATTAAATATTAAAAACTTCCCTAAACAGGGCTGCCTTCAGATGTCTTTTAAAGATAGGATAGCTGCTTATTTCCTTCATATCTGAAGGGAGGGCGTTCCACAGGGTGGGTGTTCCCTGTAACCACACTTCTCACAATGAGGGAACCGCCAGAAGGCCCTCGGCACTGGATCTCAGTGTCCAGGCTGAATGATGGGGGTGGAGACGCTCCTTCAGGTATACAGGATCAAATCAGAAACTGGGCTTCTGTAAATCCGGGACTGTCCCTGGAAAATAGGGACACTTGGAGGCTTTTCAAGCCCCAGTCAGGATTGCCAGTGGCCAGGGAGGAGGATGGGAGATTGTGGGGTTGAAGGTGCCCCATCCCCGGCGGCGGAGGAAGCTGCGAGGGCACCTGGGGCGGCTGCCCAGGGGCGAGGCGAGCTACCCATGGGGGGGCTCACTGTGGGGCCTCCGCAGTCTACCCGCCTCCTCCCACTCAGCCACCCTACAGCTGGGGGGGAGGTAGACGGACGGTTTGGGCCTGCAGGTGCCCAAGCCACCGTGTCACTCCCAGGAGAGATGCGTGGTTCGGGTGCGCTGCAGGCTCGTGGTGAGTGCCGCCCGGCATTTTGTCACCCCCCTCAGTGGTGACACCGGGGCAGACAGCACCCACTGCACCCCCCTTCCTCCACCCCTGTTTTAAGAAACAGCAGCTTAGGCCTTTCTCAAAGTGATATCTTTCCTAACACGGGATCTTTTGGTTTTGCAGGCACAGAAAACGAGAGTTACGTCCGGCATGAAGGAGAAGTCCAAGGGGAGCTTCCTGTGTCATAGAGCTGCCTCCTGTCCTTCGCAAACACGCTCTCATCAGGGAAGGAGAGGCATGAACGGTTTATCAACACAACCTCCATCTGGTGAGGGGCGGGGGAAGCTTTTGGGACTGACTTTGGAGCGTGACATTCAAAGTGGGCTGCAAATCACATGGCCACCCGCCATCACCGTCTCCGGAGCTGCCAAGGAATCTGGTGGCTCCAGGAGCCAGGAACATAGATGAGCTGTTCAAGTGACAACTTCCTCCAGAAAACATAACCAGTGGAAGTAAGATGTGCCAGCTTCCCGTCTAAATTTACTTGGTATATGGCAGCTCCTTCTTGGGGGTGGGGGTGGAGGTGGGATGTGTTTCAGGAGCCAAGTGCATGCATTGCACAGAGAAGTTTCCAGATTCAACCCTGGGGGCTTTGAGTCAAACAGAGCTTGGGTACAAAGCCTGGGGCAGCCATTTGCCCAACAACTTGGAGAGATTAGCAAAGAACAGTAAGGATCCCTTCTAGCCACTTCCAGTAGAATTAATCTCCAACTTGAGAAACATATAAAGTGCCAAGCTAGACGAATCCTCGGTCCAACTTGTTGGTTTTCCTTTGGACTCTTCACATTCCACCGCTGCCCAAATTTGATATCGCGTCTCGGCTGCATTTACAACGTGACAAAACTATGAACTTTCCTCACTGCCCCTTTGGCAAAAACTCTTCTGTGTGCTCTGGTCCTATCTTGTATGGACTAGGGATGAATCGTGTCAGTTTCGGTTTCTTGTTTTTTTCACCCTTAAGTCCAGTTCCTCACATTTCTGCATTAGTTTATTATTATTATTATTTTAAAAAGTCCCCGTGAATTTTTTCCAGCATTATAGTTTGCATTTCTCCGAATACATTCCTGCATGCAGATTTGACTGATCTAAACGTTTTTTCAAGCAAGTTCCCCTTAACAGTTTTCCATGTTAATTTCATGAATCTATTCCAGGCATAGGTAAACTAGGCCCTCCAGACGTTTTGGGACTACAGTTCCCATCATCCCTGACCACTGGTCCTGTTAGCTAGGGATGGTGGGAGTTGTAGTCTCAAAACGTCTGGAGGGCCGAGTTTGCCTATGCCTGATCTACAGTGGTATCTCTATTTACGGACGTGATCCGTTCCAGGGTGCCGTTCACACCCCGAAAAGTCCGTAAGTAGAGCAATGCTTTTGCACATGCGCGTGCTGTGATAGATTGCGCATGCGCGAAGCAGCAAAACAGGAAGTAAACACTTCCAGGTTTGCCTCGTTCATAACCAGAAAAAATGCAATGTGAAGCAAACGCACGTTCCGGAGGCCTGTTCGCAAGAAGAAAAGCCCACAACCTGAAGTGCTGTATCTGCACAGGTGCGCAGCACGATTTGGTGCTTGTGCGCATGCGCGAAGTGCAATTTACTGTGCATACTGTGCATGTGCGAGCGGCGAAACCCAGAAGTAACCCTTTCCAGTACTTCCAGGTCACCACGGGATGCAACCTGAAAAATGTAATATGGAGCAAACGTAACATGAGATATGACTGTAGTTCAATAAAGGGACTTGCTGTTATCTCTGTGTCTTGCCTCGTGGGAACCCACCTTGTTCATTAGGAACAAGGAAGCTGCCTTACACTGAGTAAGACCATTGGTTCATCCTGTCCTGGGTCCTGAGGCTCAGGAGTGAAACAGTTGTCCCACGGAGACCCTCTTTGTGAAAAAAGACTGGCTGTTTCCCCATGTTCAGTGGCGTAGCGTGGGGGGTGCAGGGGGGGCCGGCCGCACTGGGTGCAACATCTGGGGTTAGGGCAAATCCACAGGTTAGGGGGCGCAAATCCACGGGTTAGGGGGCGCAAATCCACGGGTTAGGGGGCGCAAATTACTTGCCTTGCCCCGGGTGCTGACAACCCATGCTACGCCACTGCCCATGTTACCTTCTGCATTGCACTTACACACAACATGAGGAAGGGACGCAGATTTCGATATCCGGCAGCACCTTTTCCTGAGAGCTCTCTTTAGCTGAGCAAAATGGGATCCTCAACCCACCCACCCACCTCATTTTTGCCTTTAATCTGCTTGCTTGCCTCTGCCCAGATCACTGCCCCTGACCTGGAGCGACCCTGGCAGATACAGGTAAAATCCTCCTGTATGGAAGGCTGACAGGAGATCAGTCGGTCAAAAGGAAATCCTCCAAATTGGTGCGTGTTGCACTAAGCTGTGACACAAAAGTGCAGAGGGGCAGCTGTTTCATGAGATATCTGCAAACGGGCCTGGCTGTCTCCTCCCCCCTGCAAACTGTATTCTCCTCTCTCTTTTTTGGTGCGGGTAAATCACAGCAAGGTGCGTGCAAGGTGCCTGGAAATTAACCTGCAGCTGCAGACACACCAATCATTTAAGACAGTCGCCTCCTCCAAATCTGGGAACTGTTGTTTACCCCTCACAGAAGTATAATTCCCAGCCCCCTGAATGAACTACAGTTCCCAGGAACCCTTTGCAAGCTGGGAGGAGATGTGCTTTAAATGTGCCCTAAAGGGCCAAAAGTTCCCCACATCTGGTTTAAACTGTCAGGCAGCTAGCCCAACTAAAGTGAGACGGAGTATTGTTCTTATTCCCCTGCCCATCTGACACTAGAAGATCCATTTTTTGGATACTAGATTAACAAGAGCGAAAAAATTGCCGCGGATTAACATGTAAATATCGTACTTTTCTTCTGCCTTTTCTCTACTCTAATTCTGTAAGGAACTAGCTGGGTCAGATCTGAATAAGCTAACATTGCATTTATATCCCACCTTTCCTCAGAAGAGCTGTCCACCCTCCTGCAACAACAACAATTTATTACTTATATCCTGCCCATCTGACCAGGCCTCCCCAGCCACTCTGGGCGGCTCCCAACAGAATATTAAAAACACGATAAAACATCGTGCTCAAGACATCGATTCCATAAAACATATTTTGTTGCACTGTGCAAAATATGAGCATGCCAGGGCTGAACTGATACTACCCTTGCTGGTACCTTTCCCGGGAAAATCAGAGGCTCACTATGTCAGGTTCCTGTTGGAAGACCGGACAAATGCGTAGAACATTAGCAATGGCAAAGTTCCTATCGGTGGTTGCAAGAACCAATGATCCCTATATTCTGAACAAAATGCTTGTTTAACCTGGAGGTAGGCTGTATGAATTGTGTATTGCTTTGTAACGATTTGTTGGGTCTCTGGACCGTAATAAAGATTGTTGTTGTTATAAAACATTAAATGTTAAAAACTTCCCTAAACAGGGCTGCCTTCAGATGTCTTCTAAAAGACAGATAGCTGTTTATTTCCTTGACATATGGTGGGAGGGCATTCCACAGGGTGGGAGCCACTACCAAGAAGGCCTCTGCCTGGCTCCCTGCAACCTCACTTCTAGCAGTGAGGGAACCGCCAGAAGGCCCTTGGAGCTGGTCCTCAGTGTCCGGGCTGAACGATGAGGGTGGAGACGCTCCTTCAGGTATACTCTTGTACTCACAACATGTCCCCGTCTTGCTGTGCCTCTCGCTGGGCCGAGGCAGAGAATGGCCCCCGGGACAGCAGTGGGAAACAGCTGAGCTTGCAACCGCATTTGGGTCGAAAGCCCGTTGCCTTCTGTGCCTGGAAAGGATAAAGTCGGGCAGGAGCTTTCCCAGAAGAGTGCCGTTCCTCTGCGTTGTTTGTGGAGACCTGATTAAGAAGCTCTTTGAGGGTCTCCACTGAATTAGGTACTGCGGCGTGGCTAATTAAAGGAGCTCCCTGCGGGGTCGCTTAATAGCTGCGCCAGAACAGGTGAAGATTTCATTATCTTGCCATTCCTTCTTCCACAAATAGCTCAGCCACGGGCCCTTAAATGCTTTCAGACACTGAAGCGGGCTCCTTTCTGGAAGGGGCGAGGCTGCTCCCCTGAACCAGCTGCGTTCAAGAGAGTCACATTTAGCAATATGGCGCCCATCCCAGGATAAACGTGCTCTGCATAGGAGTGCAGGAAGCTGCCTCAGCCCAGCTCAGACCTTTGGTCCATCTGGCTCTGTATTGTCTACCACTGACTGGCAGCAGCTGTCTAGGGTTTCAGGCAGGAAATCTTTCTCAGTCCATACCTGGAGAGGCCGGATTTGAACCTGGAAGCTTCTGCTTGCAAGACAGATGCTCTGGCATCTTTCCCCATATGGGTTCCCTTCCTTTGGGTTATCAGGGGGCTCTCATTTAGTCTGTCAGATTAATCAGCTAAAAGGCTTTTTGATCAGTAGAAGAAGAAGAGAAAGTTCTGGATTTGATATCCCGCTTTATCACTACCCGAAGGAGTCTCCAAAGCGGCTAGCATTCTCCTTTCCCTTCCTTCCCACCACAAACACTCTGAGATGAGTGAGGCTGAGAGATTTCAGAGAAGTGTGACTGGCCCAAGGTCACCCAGCAGCTGCATGTGGAGGAGCGGGGAAGCAAACCTGGTTCACCAGATTACGAGTCTGTCACTCTTAACCACTACACTACACTGGCTCTCCAGTAAACCAGGAAGCAGTTGTTCCTTAAATTAGAAGCACACCCTTTTCCCAAGAATCCCCATCACCTAATAACTTGAGAAAAAGCATTTCTCCAGGTACCTTGTAGGAGAACCTTTTCAGTGGTGGCTCCTAAATTCTGAAACTGGAACTCCCTCCCCAGAACCAAAACCGTCCTCATGAAAGGGGAAGCTGTGGCCTCCAGACATTGTTTCACCGACATATATGTTTTTAAAAACCATGTGTTGAGAGATACTATTTAAATATGCTGATGCCAAGAATGGGATGGACTTAGGAGTGAAGTACATGTGAAATTGGCTTGGGCTGGTGTTATGTACAGAGTTGAATAGGATCCAAATTGCAGCAGTCTGATTGGTCCTAGAACAATAGGATTCAGAATGCAGCAGTCTGATTGGTCCTAGAACAATAGGATCCAGAATGCAGCAGTCTGATTGGTCCTAGAACAATAGGATTCAGAATGCAGCAGTCTGATTGGTCCTAGAACAATAGGATCCAGAATGCAGCAGTCTGATTGGTCCTAGAACAATAGGATTCAGAATGC